CGACGAAGTCCCATTCGTCATCTTCAGGCTGGTGTTTTCAGCTTCGTGCTTCGAGGAGCACGAAGCTGAAAACACCAGCCTGAAGATGACGAATGGGACTTCGTCGAAACGTCGCCAAGACACTTCCAATTTTATGCGGGAGAAAACCCGAACAACCAAAGACCTACATATATATATATATATATATATATATATATATATATATATATATACACACACACACACACACACACACACACACATATACATATACATACATATACACACATATAGATATATAGATATACATAGATATATGTGTGTGTATTTATGTACATACACACATATAGTACACACACATATCCATATCTCTGTGTGCTATTTACTGTTGTTCATAGACCCAACAGTTTTTTTCCTTCTACAGCTGACCAAACCTACAGAGGATGGTTCAAAAGTTCTCGTGAAGAGCAGAGGGAGGAGTTTGGCAAATTGAAGAGGCTGCCCTTCCAATTAGTATGAGAAAGATGTATTCTCTTTCCATCTTCTCCTTTTATGCTTGTTTGAGGGAAAGGAGTTAATTTAGCTACAGTTAATTTCATGCCCTTCCTAATGGTCCCAATTATATCTTCCTAATTATTTCAAGGCCTCGTGTGCTTTGGATGAGTGCCTTTTTCAGAAGGGGATATTAAATAACTATCATCTCCCTCATTAATACAATTTGCAATAAAGAGAAACAAGAAGCGACATGAGCAGGCAATAGTAGTGTGAGGGCTAAAGCAGTATCTGTCGGAGACAATAAGGGAGAAGATGGCGTGACCTTGGCAGCTTATGATTTCAATAGGATTAGAGGGGCTGCATCTGAGCCCATGGGCACTGTTGGCATTAGAGTTAATGGTAGGTTTGGAAATTGGAAGTAAGTGACTCTTGATAAAATGGCTGCTGATTCTCGGCATGGTAACCACAAAATACAGGAAGTCCTCGACTTATGACTACAATTGAACCCAACATTTCTGTTGTTAAGTGAGACATTTGCTTAGTGAGTGTTGCCCCATTTTACAACCTTTCTTGCCATAGTTGTTAGGTGAATCACTGCAGTTGAATAGAATAGAGCTGGAAGGGACCTTGGAGGTCTTCTAGTCCAGCCCCCTGCTCAAGCAGGAGAACATATACCATCTCAGACAAGTGACTGTCTAGCCCAGGGGTAGGCAACCTTGGCTCTTTTATGACTCGTGGACTTCAACTCCCAGAATTCTTAAGCCAGCCATGCTGAGGGGAAAGGGAGAGGTTTCCAAGCTGAACCATGCTGGCTCAGGAATTCTGGGAGTTGAAGTCCACGAGTCATAAAGCAGCCTAGGCCTAGGCCAGAGGTAGGCAACCTTGGCTCTTTTATGACTCGTGGACTTCAACTCCCAGAATTCCTAAGCCAGCCATGCTGAGGGGAAAGGGAGAGGTTTCCAAGCTGAACCATGCTGGCTCAGGAATTCTGGGAGTTGAAGTCCATGAGTCATAAAAGAGCCAAGGTTGCCTACCCCTGGGCTTAAAAATCTCCAGTGATGGAGTTCCCACAGTTTCTGGAGGCAAGCTGTTTCACTGGTTAATTGTCCTCACTGATAAGTTGATAACTTGGTAACCCGGTCGTTAAGTGAATCTGGATTTTCCATTGACTTTGCTTGTCAGAAGGGGATCACATGACCTTGGGACACAGCAAATGGTCACAATGGTCATCTGAAGTTGGACCACATGTTCCTGGGGATGCAGGAAAGGTCATAACTGTGAAAAATGCTCATTTTTTTCCAGTGCCATTTTAACTTTGAATGGTCACTAAATGAACTGTTGTAAGTCAAGGACTAGCAGTCCTCATTGCTTAGTAAGGTGAGGGTCAAGAAAGTGAAGTTACCAAGAAAATCTAAATAAGAGAAGGATACGGGTCGTCTTTGCAATGCCATGTTTCCTGTTTCATCTCACAGCTTTCCCCTTCATTTCACAGGAAACACATTAATGAATTTCTGAGGCAAGACACTTGGGTGTGTGTGTCTGTGTGATCCTCATCTTCATGACGTGAAGACACCTTGGTGATGATTTGCGTAAGTCATGCCCTCCTGAGGTTGCCATCATCTCTTCTTTAATATCAGGAGAGATAGCACAAAGGCATATTTAGCTTTTTTCCATTTTGAAGGAATGTTTCTCCTCTTCTGACATTTTTTTTTTTTTTGCTCATGGCTATGAACTAGCATCTTCTGTCAATGAAGAGCCATGGGTGGCGCAGAGGTTAGAATGCAGTACTGCAGGCTAATTCTGCTGACTGCCGACTGCCAGCCGTTCGGCAGTTCGATCCTGACCGGCTCAAGGTTGATTCAGCCTTCCATCCTTCTGAGGTCCATAAAATGAGGATTGTTGGGGGGGGCCATGTGCTGACTATGTAAACCGCTTAGAAAGGACTGTAAAGTACTGTGAAGCGGTATATAAGTCTAAGTGCCATTGCCATCTGGTTGATAACTTGGTCAGGACATGAGATCTGCCTATCAGCTTTGGCTATTTTGGGCTCCTGAGGATTTGTCCTCTGCCATCTGGGACAGCGGATGGTAGGAGGTCTGATTCTCTTCCTTTGAATCTGCTAAGTCTCCAAGGACGTGAATCAGCTTCAGGTAAAGAGTCAGTAAGGATAAGGTAAAGGAAGGGACTCCTTGCGGGTTTTACTCCGCTAGTCATAGCCAAGTTTAAAGAGTGGTGCTCATCTCCATTTCATTAAGCTATTGAGCCAGCCCTGTCTGAAGTTGTTTCCATGGACCTGTGGCTAACGTAACATAACATTGCAGTACAGAGTGTACGGTGAAACACACAACGCTATTACCTTCCCACAGAAGTGATATCTACTGTATTTATCTACTTGCATTTACATGCTTCTGAACAGGTAGGTTGGCAGGAGCTGAGGCAAGTGACAGGAGCTCACTCCATCATGCGGTGGTAGGACTTGAACCGCCAGACATAGACCTTCTCCAGTATCTTTTAACCCTACTGAGCCGCAACGCCTGTACAGGATAAGAAATAGCTGGAATTAATCCTCCAACATTTTCCTTCCAGGATAAACCTTCATGTTGGTTGGGATGGAGTTGGTCATCAGCTTTTCAATGTCATTTTTACTCTGATCACATTGCGACTGCCATCTTGACATTTTTTTAAACCATACCCTGTAGACACTCTGCTTCTAATTCAACATGCTGACTTTGCCCTTTGCAGATTTTTTTTTTTGCAGAGATCAATCCATCTTCTAAGCATAACAAAGGTTAAAAGGCTGATTTCGTATAATCTTTTGCACCCTTTCAGGGGAAGGAAGGAAGGAAGGGAGGGAGGGAGGGAGGGAGGGAGGAGGGAAGGGAGGGAAGGAGGGAGGGAAGGGAGGGAGAGAGGGAGGGAGGGAGGGAAGGAAGGAAGGAAGGAAGGGAGGGAGGGAGGGAGGGAGGGAAGGAAGGAAGGAAGGGAGGGAGGAGCGAGGGAGGGGAGGGAGGGAGGAAGGGAGGGAGGGGGAGGGAAGGAAGGAAGGAAGGAAGGAAGGAAGGAAGGAGGGAGGGAGGGAGCGAGGGAGGGAAGGGAGGGAGGAAGGAAAGGAGGAGGGAGGGAGGAAGGGAGGGGGGGGGAGGGAGGGAGGGAGGGAAGGAAGGAAGGGGGGAGGGAGGGAGGGAGGGAGGGAAGAAAGGAAGGGAGGGAAGGAAGGGAAGGGAGGGAGGGAGGGAGTGAGGGAGGGAGGGGAGGGAGGGAAGGAAGGAAGGGATGGGGGAAGGGAGGGAGGAAGGAGGGAGGGAAGTGAAGGGAGGGGAGGGGAGGGAGGGAAAGGAGGGAGGGAGGGAGGGAAGGAAGAAAGGGAGGAAGGGAGGGAAGGAAGAAAGGAGGAAGGGAGGGAAGGGAAGGGGAGGGAGGGAGGAGGGAAAGGAAGGGAGGGACGAGGGAGGGAGGGAGGGAAGGGAGGGAGGAGGGAGGGAGGGAGGAAGGAAGGAAGGGAGGGAGGGAGGGAAGGAAGGCAGGGAGGAAGGTAGGGAAGGAAGGAAGGAAGGAAGGAAGGGAGGGAGGGAGGGAGTGAGGGAGGGAGGGAAGGAAGGGAGGGAGGGAGGGAGGGAAGGGAGGGAGGGAGGGAAGGAGAGAAGGAAGGAAGGGAGGGAGGGAGGGAGGGAGAGAAGGAAGGGAGGGAGGGAGGGAAGGGAGGGAGGGAAGGAAGGAAGGAAGGAAGGATTCTAACTCAGGAGTGAATAAAATTGCTTCAAAATCATCATGGCCATTTCAAGCCACCACTGAAAGAAATTTCAGGTTTTTTTTAATTGTTCAAGTTTGGTTAGGAAGCAGCTGTAATGTTTAAATGAGCAGGGCTTATGATATTTCAAGGAAATGAAGACAACAGAAGGACACTTTTAAAACTAGATTGGAGTCTTTTATGACTTTCTTTCATAATTAGTCTTGTCCTTGGGAATAGAATAGCTCTCAAGATAATCTTGGTCAGCTGTTTGAAATGCTGCAGCTAATGAAAATGAATGGAGGAATGATAAAATAAATGTTAGAATTAAGTTACTGTTACTCTGGAATAAGAGCAAACATGGTAATAATCAGTTAGTATCTCATGTTCCATACTAATGATGATGGCTAAATATGGGCAGCCAGTTGAAATGCTATGCTAACATTAGCAGTTGGCAATAGGACATTAGAAGACTATGAATAAAAATGGACTAATTCTAATTCAAGAACCAGTGCCATACAAAGTTTTTATTTGAAGATTGAACTTGAAGGCAATTTGATGGAGTTCTTGAATTAAATCAACCAAATCAATTAAATCAGACCAACAAATTGTTTATTCCTTTCTGATTGTAGAGTCAATTGGATGTGAAGAGTTGATAGGATCTGGAAAAACAACTCATATGGAATTGCAATGCTTTGCTCTGGACATTCACGTTACAAGATACAGTCAGATGATGGAAGATGTAGGACAGTGATGGCGAACCTTTTAGAGACTGAGTCCCCAAAAACCATCCCCCCATCCTTGCTCCGCCCTGCCCGCTGGGCCACCCACCACCTCCATGGCCCACCATAGATCACCCAGGCAGCCAGCAGCGCCATGGCAGCCACACCCTCTGCCCGTGTTCCGCAGCATCATCTGTGCATGACGGGCCGCAAGGGTGGAGTCTTGTCCCCGCTGCCCGGCTACCATGTCCTTGGCTATGCTGCTTCACTGGGCTGCACCTGGGGGCAGCTCTCCTCCAGGGGGACTGTTGGTGAGGAGGGGACCATGAGAGGAGGTGGGGCTGGGGCAATGGTGCATGTGTCCACAGAGAGGGATCCGAGTGCTGCCTCTGGCACACATGTCATAGTTTTGCCACCACTGATGTAGGAGAAGGACTTGCAGAACCTGCAGGTGGAATTAAAAGAAGAATCAGTGTAAGGACCCACCCCACTTTGCATCTTAAGAAGACAGAACTCTTGGAATAATTCTTCCAACAGGAATCCTTTATTAAGAGAAGTGGTTGCAGGCATGCTAGACAGGACTTGGGGTTCAAGCTCTCCCATTCAAGGTTTTAAGGGGTTCCCAGTAGTCCCACCCAATCAAACCCCCTTCCAGTGATAGTTTCAAGTATCACAATTCCACCCCTTTCTTCTTTCTTCCGTCTGGATGGAGACTTCAGATAACTACATGAAAGGCAATTACCCTTCTTTGATATGCTAACGCTTAGAGGTCACAATAAACACACATTCATCATTCAGCCCTTTGAAGTGTACTGAAGGAAGTGAGGGCCATAAAGCCCCTTTGCTCTCCCCCTTCTCTCCCTCTTATGGCAGAATCCAGAGAAAGCAGAATTGGGAGTTTCTATATTTGATAATTAAAGATGAAATATAATTGAATTCTGACATTCGGCCCCTCTTAAAAATAAGAGAGATCCACCTGAAAGAAAACACAAGTAAAAAATTTAGTCAGGCTTGTTAGGATACTCTGTGTGAAACTTCTTCAATAGCTTCGGGGCTCTGACATGACGTTTATGAACCCACTCATTTTGTGAGGCAGGGAGGTGTTTCCAGGCAACTAGGTACTGAGTTGTTCCATGATATCTCCTAGAGTCAAGGATCTCTTTTATTTCGAAGTGTTGTTCACCCTCCACCATGATTGGAGGTGGTGGTGGGGGGATTTTTGGCCGTAGAGGTGACTGATGCTCTCTTTTCAGCAAGCTGCAATGAAAAATTGGGTGTATTTGCCTGAGATTTTTGGGTAATTCTAATTCTACTGTTACTGGATTTATGATTCTTTTAATTGGAAAAGGTCCTATATATTTTGGTCCAAGTTTTTTACAGGGCTGTAGGGATTTTAGGTATTTTGTAGATAAGTACACCATTTCTCCTATAATGAATGGTGTAGGCTCAACCCTTTTTTTATCGGCTTGTGCTTTGTATGCCCGCCTAGATTCATCTAGTGATTTTCTGACTATTGGCCAGGTGTTTTGTAGGTTTTCCATCCATTCTTTCAGTGAAGGGATCGTTGGTTCTTTTGGGGTTAACTCTGGCATAGGGTTGAAACTTTGACCGTTGGCTATTTGAAAAGGAGTGTAGCCTGTGCTGGAGTGGACTGCATTATTGTAGGCGACTTCTGCAAAAGGAAGTAAGTCCGTCCAATCACTCTGTTGGAAATTTAAAAAACATCTCAAATATTGCTCAAGTACCGAATGGCAGCGTTCTGTTTGTCCATCTGTCTGAGGGTGATGGCTAGATGTCAGTCCCTGAGTGGTCCCTAAGAGGGATAAAAATTCCTTCCAAAATGCAGACGTAAATTGCACTCCCCTATCAGAGATGATGCGTTGGGGTGCCCCGTGCAATCTGTAAATGTGCTGGATGAAAAGTTTTGCTAAGGCCTTTGCAGTGGGAATCTTCTGGCAAGGGATAAAGTGCACCTGTTTGGAAAATAGGTCCGTGACTGTCCAGATAACAGTATTCCCATTGCTTTCTGGCAATTCCACTATAAAATCCATGACTATTTCCCTCCAGGGGGCTGAGGGACTTGCCACTGGTTGTAATAGCCCTGGCGACTTCCCTTGCAACCTCTTTGCCGATGCACAGGTTGGGCAGCTGGCAACATAACTTTCTATGTCCTTTTTTATTGATGGCCACCAAAATTGCCGTTTAATTAAGTGTAAAGTTTTTACAAATCCAAAATGCCCTGCTGATTTTGTGTCATGGCAAAGCTGCATGAAAGTTACTCTTTGAGTTGTTGGTATATATAACTTTTCCCCTACCCAAGGCAACCCGTCTCTCATTGTGCACACATTTTTGTTTTTCTGGAACCATTCATCTGTTTCCAAACTTTTTCTGAATTCAATTCCAGTTTGGCTGTCCAGTTGTGGTTTTATTTTGGCTTGGGTTCTTGTGGTTACTGGTGCTGCCAGTTGTGACTCTGCCATTATTGGTCTAGAGTCTGTGGTTCGTGCGCTGTTATATTGGGGCATGCGAGATAGTGCATCTGCCAGGAAGTTCTTTCTTCCTGGTAAATGTTTGAGCTTAAATTGGAATTGGTGAAAATGCTGGGACCAGCGGGCTTGTTTGGGATTGAGTTTCCTGGAAGTTTTCAGGGCTTCTAAATTTTTGTGATCAGTCCACACCTGGAAAGGGATTTTGTTGCCTTCCAGGAACTGTCGCCACGTGAGTAATGCCCAACGTATCCCATAAGCCTCCTTCTCCCATGCGGGCCAGCGCTGTTCTGTTTCCGTGAGTTTCTTGGATGTATATGCACAGGGTTGCAATACTGCATCATCATTTTCTTGTAATAGCACAGCCCCCACTGCCACATCACTTGCATCTGCCTGTATTACGAAGGGCTTGTCCATGTCTGGGTGCCTTAGTACTGGTTCGGCAGAAAAAAGTCTCTTTAGTCTCTCAAACGCTGCTTGGCACTCCATTGTCCATGTTAGTGGCTGGCTAGGTTTTACTGAGGATGTTCCCTTCATTTTTAGTAAGTTAGTGAGGGGCAAGGCTATCTGGGCAAATGAGGGGATGAATTGGCGGTAAAAATTTGCAAAGCCCAGGAAACTTTGTAGTTGCTTTCTTGTGCGGGGTGGTGCCCAATCTAGTACTGCTTTGACCTTCTCCGGGTCCATTTCAATGCCCTGTGGGGATATGCGATAGCCTAGGTAGTCTATCCTTTCCTGGTGGAATTCGCATTTTGATAGTTTGGCATATAGGTGAGCGGCTCGCAGCTTTTTTAAAACCGCTCTGACAAGTTTGACGTGTTCTTCTTTTGTTTCGGTAAAGATAAGAATGTCGTCCAAGTAAACAAGGACCCCCTTAAACAGGTGCTCCCTTAGAACGTCATTGATCAATTGCATAAAGACTGCAGGGCCCCCTTGTAATCCAAATGGCAAGACTTTGAATTGATAGCACCCCATGGGGCAGTTAAATGCAGTCTTCCATTCGTCCCCTTCCTTGATTCTCACGCGATAGTAAGCTTCCCTTAGGTCTAGTTTAGAAAAAAATTTCCCTTTCGATAGGTGTGACAGCATGTCTTTCATGAGGGGCAGCGGGTATAGGTTGCTTTCACTGATTGTATTCAGGCCCTATAATCCACGCATAAACGTAAAGAGCCATCCTTCTTCTCTCTAAAAAGGACCGGGGCAGCCACTTTAGGCTTGGCTGGCTCAATGAAACCTCTCTCCAGGTTTTTTTTTTATAAATCTTTCCATTTCCTCCTTCTCCTTTGGGCTCATGGAGTATAATCTGGGCTTCGGGAGTTTTGCCCCAGGCTTGAATTCAATGGTACAGTCTGTGGGTCGGTGGGGGGGGGAGCTCATTCACCCTCTCCTCACTGAAGACTTCAGCAAGGTCCCTATATTCCTCTGGTATTTCTGTTAATCTTTTTTCCTCCCCTATGGATGCTTTTTCTATTCTTGATTCTGGTAGCCTCCCTTGGGGTTTTAAGTCCATAGGGTCCCCCTTCGGGAATTTGATTTCTGTCGTCCTCCAATTTACCCAGGGGTTCCATTTTTTCAACCATTCCATCCCTAGAATCATTGGGCATTCCATACCTGGGGTCACCACAAACGTTAAGTCCTCTTCATGGTTGCCCAGGGAGAGGTGTATTGGCAGAGTGGCTAGGGTAGCTGGCACCCCCCCTGCTATGGATCCATCTAGCTGGCCAAATGAGATTGGTTGTTCCAGTCTCCTGGATGGGATGCCCAGATTCCCCACTAGTGTTGGGCTAATGAGGCAGCGGGTGCAGCCAGAGTCTATTAAGGCTTTCACCTTCACAGATTCGGGCATGGGGGGGATTAATATAGTCACTGTTTTGAAGATGGGTGTGATGCATCCACTTACCAGGGGTTCGCCCTCCGAGCTGTCATCTGAGGCAGCCACCGGCCCTGTGGTGTAGGCTGGAGTTCTTTCCCCTTGGTGAGCAGAGGTGGGGGTTTCTGCAACTTCCATCATTCTCATGGCCGTTTCTTTTGGCTTAGCTGAATACTTTCCGGGTTTGTTGATTGGGGATCTGTCTGGGTTGTGCTGGGGGGCCTTTGAGCGGCATTCTACAGCTCGATGCCCTTCTCTTCCGCACTTGAAACACCCCATTTGCTTCTTGGCTGTATCCGATGATTTCACCGGTTGGTGTGTCAGCTCAGGCGGGGGGCGGCTCCATTGTTTTCCTCGGCGGTGCCTCTTCAATATGTCGATCTCTGCTTCCTCTGCCAAGACGTACCATTCCTCAAGTTGATGTGGGTCCCCTCGGGGCAGGCAAGCATCATATAGATCATAGTTTAGTCCGTCTTTGAAATGGCCAAGGAGGATGTCTTCTGGCCAATTCAGTTTGCTGGCAATGGCCCGGAATTCTTGGGTATACTCAGCCACTGGGCGTTTGCCTTGCCTCATCGTTGTTATCCTTTCACGGGCTTTGCGATCAGCCAGGGGGTCTTCAAATCGTCTTCTCAAAGAGGACATGAAACGGTTGAAGTTACTGAGTTCTGGGGCATTGGAGTCATGCAAGTTCACCACCCAATCCGCAGCTGGTCCATCCAGGGCAGATTGCACGATCCGGATGCGGGCTTTGTCGCTGGGAATGTCCTGCCCATATTCCTCCATGTAGCTGAGGACTTGGGTTAGGAAAAACCCCAAGCGTGTTGGCTCCCCTTTGAATTTCACCTCCAACGGTGGACGTCTTGGAATGGATCGGTGCCTCCGTTGTGGGTGGTAGTGTCTTCCATCCAGATTACCATCTGTGGTCCGGTAGGGGGTGGGGCTCCTGGATCAGTAGATGTCCCTGGGGTTGCAGGTTCCACGTCCCCCTCGGTGTCTCTCCCTTTGTGGCTCCAGGAACTGGGGCGGCCGTAGGGCTCAGTATTCTCCTCTCCTAGGGAGCTGAGAGTTCTCTTCATCAGGTTAATAGCTTTCTCTAGGATCCAGTCTGAGTACGGTGCCCAGCTTCCTCCCTCTTCACTTGCGTGCAGGGATTTCTCCATCTCCTGCTTCCATTCTGGTTGCTTGGTCCCCCGTCTCAGGGTCACCTTTCTTGATTCCTTTCCCCACTTACTTTTCTTTCCAACGCCCATTGACCAGCGAGGCTTGTGGTCCCGTGTCTCCACCACTTCTTCTCCTGAGGAATCTGACCTCTCGGATCCCAACATCTGGCAAGGTTCCAATTTGGTCAGCGGCTCTCTTTCCAGGGAGTTTTCCCCCTTTCTTGCTCCATTGTCTGACATGGTAATTTTTTGCAAAATCCCCGGCAAGGGTCTCCCTTCCAGGTGGATTAATTTTACAAGTCCTGTCTAATGTAAGGACCCACCCCACTTTGCATCTTAAGAAGACAGAACTCTTGGAATAATTCTTCCAACAGGAATCCTTTATTAAGAGAAGTGGTTGCAGGCATGCTAGACAGGACTTGGGGTTCAAGCTCTCCATTCAAGGTTTTAAGGGGTTCCCCAGTAGTCCCACCCAATCAAACCCCCTTCCAGTGATAGTTTCAAGTATCACAATTCCACCCCTTTTCTTCTTTCTTCCGTCTGGATGGAGACTTCAGATAACTACATGAAAGGCAATTACCCTTCTTTGATATGCTAACGCTTAGAGGTCACAATAAACACACATTCATCATTCAGCCCTTTGAAGTGTACTGAAGGAAGTGAGGGCCATAAAGCCCCTTTGCTCTCCCCCTTCTCTCCCTCTTATGGCAGAATCCAGAGAAGGCAGAATTGGGAGTTTCTATATTTGATAATTAAAGATGAAATATAATTGGATTCTGACAATCAGCTTAGAATCCCTATGTAGCCAGAAAGAAATAAGTCCCATCTCCTTTGAATTCAGTGGACCCTTATCTAAATCCAAGCAGCTGCCATCCTTTAAGTTGAGAAGATTCCTTTTTTTTACATGTTTATTTTTATTAGCTTATAGTATAAAATATGAAAATACAAAAGCAAATAGTAGGAAACAAAGGTAAGGGGAAGAGAAAAAGAGAAGCATGGAAGGGGGAGGGAAGGAAAAAAAGGTGTTGACTTCTGACTCCCCCTGTTGCAGAAAAATAAGGCATTAGCATCGAACCTCAACTTTTTACTTTTCTATAATAGTATCAACTAGCCATTTCTATAATTAACAAATCAATCTAATCATTAAAACTCAGAATCAAAGTATCATTTTTTCCCACCCCAAGTACAAAGTCCAGAAGTGGTTTCCAAGTAGAAACAAAAGTACTTACGTTATTTTCTTTGATCAGAACAATCAGTTTAGCCATCTCTGCTAACTCCTTCAGTTTTTGTAACCATTCATCCATGGTGGGAATCGAAACATCCTTCCATTTTTGTGCATAAAGTGGTTTTGCTGCCTAAGTTGAGAAGATTCTGCGCATAGGTGTTTTAGTAATAAATCGGTTTAATTGGATCTTCACATCTGGATCTGGTCTTTTGTATCTGACCAAAGAAAAGAATGGGAGCATAAAAATTGCTATGTTGATGGGATGACTGAACCCCATTTGCCCTCAGTAATGGGCCCTGCAGATGTTTATGTTTTAAAAGGAAATAGTTAAGGAAAGAAATCAATGAATTTTGGTTTTCTCTGCACTGACAGTAGGAAAAACAGCCACTAATTACTTTCCTTAATATGTAGTAGGGCAACAATAAATGTCACTCCTTTAAAGTAGGACAGGTAAAGAAACAGATATCTATAGAGATTCTCCGTCATCCAGGTCATAGTTATCCCAAAGATGCTTTTTCACGAGGCAACTGGACTTTCTTGTTTTTCTTTGAAGATATTTTGCTTCTCATCCAAGAAGCTTCTTCAGCTCTGACTGGATGGTGGGGGAATGGAAAGATTTATACTCCTGCAGGCCATGGTTTTCCCAGTTGCAAAGTATGGCTGTGAAAGTTGGACCATAAGAAAGGCTGAGCGCCAAAGAATTGAGGCCTTTGAACTATGGTGCTGGAGAAGACTCCTGCAAGTCCCTTGGACTGCAAGGCGTTCAAACCGGTCAGTCCTAGAAGAGATCAACTCCAACTGCTCTTTAGAAGGCCAGATCCTGAAGTTGAAATTCAAATACTTTGGCCACCTAATGAGAAGGAAGGACTCACTGGAGAAGGGCCTAATACTGGGAAAGATTGAGGGCAATAGAAGAAGGGGACGACAGAGAATGAGGTGGCTGGATGGAGTCACTGAAGCAGCAGGTGTGAACTTAAATGGACTCCAGAAAATGGTAGAGGACAGGAAGACCTGGAGGAACGTTGTCCATGGGGTCGCGATGGGTCAGACACGACTTCGCAATTAACAACAACAACAACAACAAGACAGCTGTTCATTTGCATTTGTACAACTGGATAAAAGTATGCAAATGAACAGCTGTCTGAAAGGAATATAAATCCTTCCATTCTCCACCATCCAGTCAGAGCTGAAGAAGCGTCTTGGATGAGAAGCGAAACGTCTTCAAAGAAAAACAAGAAAGTCCAGTTGCCTCGTGAAAAAGCATCTTGGGGGTAAAGAAACAGACACTATAAGAATACTAGAACTTTATTTCATTGTTATAGGATATAATACCATTACAATGAAACAGTTATTTCCCTCTGTCTTATATCAAAGATAGTCAAGGTGGGGAAAATCTTGAGTTTCTTTCTCACTCTTTCCTGTTTTCCTGGGCTAAGCTCATGTTTTATTAAAAGTTGTATATTTTCTTCATGGCTATCTCTGAACTCTTCTACAGTGGGTGAATACAGGCAGATGCTTCGATCAACAAGTTTAGCCACAAGTTTCCCAATTAACATTAATTAGCTTACATACCTGTGACCTGTTGAGTTATTTCTGAAGACAGATTTGGCACTTTTTTGAATTAGCATGAAACCCTTGTACCAAAAGACCCCTGCTGACAGATTACAGGGAAGAAAGAGGGATGGGGAATGAAGTAGGATAGAGTTTTTTTGATTGTCATACATTTGAAGGGGACTTTCCATTTCCCCCACACCCTCTGAACCTGTAATCTACTGGCCAAGCTAACAGGTTTGGAGACTAGTATGTGCCGAAGCAGGAAGCACAATCGATAATGAGTGAGCTCCATCCTTAGCTAGTGCTGTAAGGGAATAGAAATTGGCAGTGCCGGATTTTGGTGAAAAATATGGCAATCTAAAACCCCTTGTTACCACAGAATGTCTATAATGTACATACATACACAGAATAACAGAGTTGGAAGGGATCTTGGGGGGGTCATCTAGTCTAACCCCCTGCTCAAGCGGGAGACCCTATACCAGGGGTCTTCAAACTTGGCCCTTTTATGACTTGTGGACTTCGATTCCCAGAATTCCTCAGCCAGCGTGCCTGGCTGAGGAATTCTGGGAGTTGAAGTCCACAAGTCATAAAAGAGCCAAGTTTGAAGACCCCTGCCCTATACCGTTTCAGACAAGTGGCTGTCCAGTCTGTTTTTTAAAAGCCTCCAGTGATGGAGCACCCACAACGACTGAAGGCAAACTGTTCCACTGGTTAATTGTTCTCACTGTTAGGAACTTTTTCCTTTTCAAGCTTCTCTTCTTGGCTAGTTTCCATCCATTGTTTCTTGCCTTGCCTTCTGGTGCTTTGGAAAATAGGTGGTCAATGAGTGGATGATCAACCAGACCACTGATGAAGTACACTGGTTGATGTCCACCGCAACATCTACCTTGCCAAAAGAGGAGAACCCTGCTCTAAAACAGGAACTCCTCAAGACAACTTTAAGGGAGCATCTGCTGTGATCAGGAAGGAGACAAAGGCAAAGTCATGAGAAACCGGCATACAAAAACAGATATGGGGGGGGGGGGGGAAGTCTGGGCTCTGCTTAGGGGATGCAAGGATGAGCTAACCATTTTCGGAAACCGCCTTGTGCTTCCTGCCTTGTGTTTTGTTTTATTTCTAATTACCTTTTATGTAAATACAAAAGTGAAACAAGGATGTATCCTGCCCTCATTCCTGTTTATTTTGGCAGCTGTTTACAGGATAAATGACATGTGTTATAAAGCAAGGAAAGAGACACATTTTGCTGGAAATAAGCATTTGGAATGTAGAGAATCTGGACTTTCTTTCACCCATATTTTTTTCCCCCTTAATACACACCGTTCTTTGCGTACAATTGGAAGAGCATAGTTGCCATGAAGTGCTTGGCTATCTTCATTCATACGTTTTTTTGAGTTACAGGACTCCTGTTTTCAGCCAGCAACAGAAAAGGCAAGAACCATGAGGATTTTCAGTATTAATACAGGCTGTCCCTGACTTACAATCACAACTGAGTCAACATTTCTGTTGTTTTGCCTCATTTTATGACCTTTCTTGCCACACTTGTTAAGCGAGTCACTGTAGTAATTAAGTTAGTAATACGATTATAAAATGATACGAGTGTAAAGTGGTAACAACCTGCCTCCTGAAGTTGTGAATGGTCCAACACTAAAAGTTTTCACGAAGAGATTGGACAACCGTTTGCCTGAAATAGTATAGGTCAGGGGCGGGTGACCTTGGCTCTTTTATGACTCGTGGACTTCAACTCCCAGAATTCCTGAGCCAGCCACGCTGAGGGGAAAGGGAGAGGTTTCCATGCTGAGCCATGCTGGCTCAGGAATTCTGGGAGTTGAAGTCCACGAGTCATAAAAGAGCCAAGGTTGCCTACCCCTGGTATAGGGTTTCTTGCCTGAGCAGGGGGTTGTACTAGAAGACCTCCAAGGCCCCTTCCAGTTCTGATATGCTGAATCTGGCTTACCCATTGGCTTTGCTTGTCAGAAGATCGCAAAAGGTGATCGTATGGACATTGCAACTATCATAACTACGTGCCAGTTGCTAAGAATCTGAATTTTCATCAGCTGACCGTGAGGAAGCTGCAATGACCGTAAGTGTGAAAAATGGTCATAAGTAACTTTTTTTCCAGTGATTTTGTAACTGAATGGTCACTAAACGAATGGTTGTAAGTCAAGGACTACCTGTAATGATCTTTTAGATTCTTTAAGAACCGTAGTAGGGGGAATCTAAAAAATTGTCAATATTCCAAGCCAACATAGCTGGATCTCATGCAACGAACCTGGAGATGCTAAGAAGATTACACTGAAGTGGGTAAGCATTTTGACTGGTGTACTTCTCAGATTTTGAACGTCTGTGGTGGCCACACTCATGAGGGAGGGGGGACATCTATTCACAGAATAACTGTCATGTTGAGTCCAGCTGGTCACAAATGCCTTTTTATCAGGAGGCAAATTAATCACTCTGAACCTTTTTCTACTCCTTGCTGAGATTTGAGAAGAAGGAGTCAAGCTATTCCCTAAAGCACCAGAAGGCAGGACAAGAAGCAACAGATGGAAACTAACCAAGGAGAGAAGCAACCTAGAACTAAGGAGAAACTTCCTGACAGTTAGAACAATTAACCAGTGGAACAACCTGCCTCCAGAAGCTGTGAATGTTCCAACACTGGAAGTTTTCAAGAAGAGACCAGAGAGCTATGTCTGAAATGACATAGAGCAGAGGTCCCCAACCTTTTGGGCACCAGGGACCGGTTCCGTGGAGAGAGGTTTTTCCACGGACCGGAGGGTGCGTGGTTTTGTGTGCTGCCTGCATCTCGCGGATGGGGCTTTGCTTGTTTGTGCGGACTAGTGCTGGCATGCCACAGCCCAGTACTGGTCCACGGACCTGGGGTTGGGGTTGGGGACCCCTGGCATAGAGTTTCCTATGAAAGGAGGGAGTTGGACTAGAAGATCTCCCAGGTCTTCCATTATTCTGTATTCTGGATCTTTGTAGTCCCAAAAGCATACATAGGATGTTGGTGATCTTGTCTGCCACATTCCATCTTCCTGTTTACGCTTTGGCTTTTTAATCAGGAAGCCTGATGGATCCAATGGCCCTTATGGGTGGGCACCCTCGTGGTGATTTTGGCTCCTGAGATACAAGTTCTTTTCCAAGGGTGGGGTTGTGCTACCAGAAACTTTTGACAAAATGTGAAATCAGATTAAAGTGAAATCGTCCAATCCCATTGATTTCTTGCCCAGGAAGAATGAAGAATGATGGATAGACAGATGAGGCTGTCTGTTGTCGCTAAAGAAACAACCAGCCAGCCTAGAATTGAGTAATATTCTGAGCAAGAATAGCCATCTCCGTCATACTGATTGTGGGCAGAAAAAAAGAGAGCTAACATTGCCAGGCAGAACAATTCTCTGTTTTCCTAGTGGTTCTCATTCAGCTGGAGGCAAATTGTTTTATAACACTGCTTCCAAAGAAAAAAAAGAAGTCTCCTGGGTAGAATATGGTGTTCTTATTTAGCTCTCAGTGGCAGCTCTGAGCAATTTCTGAATGTCCTGCCTTCCACGGAACAGCCCTTACCCTGGGATGGGCACCTGATGGCTCTCCCGCCCTCAATTCAAGAGAAGATCTGGGAGTTGGGAGGGGTCACTCATCTCCTGGATGTTTTTCAGAAGCAATGTTACCATCTCTGCTAAAAGAGGAGTCTTCCTCCTCCTTATTCTCCACCACCACCACCACCACCTCCTCCTCCTCATTGTCTATCTTCTCTTCCTTCTCCTTGTCTATCTCCTCCCTCCTCACTATCTCCTCCTCATGGTCTATCTCCTCCTCATTGTCTATCTCCTCCTCCTCCTCATTGTCTATCTCTTCCTCCTCCTCATTGTCTTTCTCCTCCTTCTCCTCCTCCTCCACCACCTCCAACTCCTCCTCCTCATTGTCTGTCTCCTCCTTTTCCTCCTCATTGCCTATCTTCTCCTCCTTCTCCTTGTCTATCTCCTCCTCCTCTCCCTCATTGTCTATCTCCTCCTCCTCCTTGTCTATCTTCTCCATTTCCTTGTCTATCTCCTCATTGTCTATCTCCTCCTCTTCCTCCTCATTGTCTATCTTTTCCTCCTCATTGTCTATCTTCTTCTCCTTGTCTATCTACTCTTCCTTCTCCTTGTCTATCTCCTTCTCCTCCTCATTGTCTATCTTCTTCTCCTTCTACTTGTCTATCTCCTTCTCCTCCTCATTGTCTATCATCTCTTCCTTCTCCTTGTCTCTCCTCCTCCTCCTCCTCCTCATCATCATCATCATTGTCTATCTTCTCTTTTTTCTCCTTGTCTTTCTCCTCCTCCTCCTCCTCATTATCTTCTCCTCCTTCTCCTTGTCTTTCTCCTCCTCCTCCTCCTCCTCATTATCTTCTCCTCCTTCTCCTTGTCTTTCTCCCCCTCCTCCTCATTGTCTTTCTCCTCCTTCTCCTTGTCTATCTCCTCCTCCTCCTCCTCCTCCTCCTCCTCCTCCTCCTCCTCTTCCTCCTCCATCATACGATTTCTCTGCTCATAAACAGGGTAGATAATCGCAAAACGCCGTTGAATGCCCAGCTTCAACTTAAGCCAATTTTTATTCTAAACTGCTGCGCAATTCCAAAGGAGGTGGGGAAAAAAAACCAACACAGTCCAGCCGGGATGACTGATGCCAGATGACCAGCCTTGCACTGGCTTACATCAGCCTGGCTGAGCAACAGCACGATTTGGTTACACTGCATTCATTTTCAGCCCTCCCCTGTTGCTATTTCTCAATCTCTGGGCGGATCGCTTCCTGCCTACTGCCTCCCCACATTTTCTCTCCCCAAACAGCCCCCCCCCCCCGTCTCTCCTCTGCCCTGATTCAGGATGGTCAAGAAGGTGGAGCCCTTTCCCAGCGCTGCTGCAGGGAAAAGCTGGGGAATACTTGGGCCACTTTCCTCCCCAGGGCCAAGGACTGCCCTCTTGGATTTATGAAAGTCAAGCCTGCATGAGAGGCCCAAAGAGGGCGAGGTGCTGCTGCTGCTGTAGGAAAGTCCTCTGTTCAGTGGTGTTCATCAACTTGATCGCATTTGTAAGCTAATGGGGGGGGGGAATCAAACTGAAGTTCATTAGGACCAGCGCCTTCCAGCAGGACCAGCTGGCTGCGTGAAATATTAATAGAAAGGAAAGCTGGTCTCTGTCTCAATCTCTCCGCCGGCTGGGGGAGAAGATGACACTGTCCTCAGTAACATATTGTCCTGCCCGTTCCCTGGCAGGGCATTTCCACTTCCCCAGATGGCTGGCTGGTGGCCGTTGTCCTCTGTCCCTGACATGACAAGGCCCATGTGCAGAGCGCCCAGGGCAAGATGATCCGCTTCCCCACCTGCACTCAGCAGGGAAAGGAGATTCCCAGCAGCATGGGGGGCAGAACAGCCCCAAAGATGGGAGCTCTGGGGGAAGGGGCAGGGGACCCCCAAGAGCAAAAGGGTCTCAGTTTCAGTGTATATGTATGTGTGTGTGTGTGTGTGTGTGTGTGTGTGTGTGTGTGTGTATAATAAAAAATATACATTATAATAGACCCATGGCACATCCTTCTCTTTCTTTCTTTCTTTCTTTCTTTCTTTCTTTCTTTCTTTCTTTCTTTCTTTCTTTCTTTCTTTCCCTTCCTTCCTTCCTTCGTTCCTCCTTCTCTCCCTCTGTCCCTCTCTTGCTCTCTCCCTCCCTTCCATTCTCCTTTTCCTTTCTTCCTCCTTCATCATCCCTGCCTTCTTTCTCTCCTCCCTTTCTCCTTCCTTCTCTTTCTCCCTTCCTTTCCTTTTCCCCTTCCTTCCTTCCTTCCCTCCTTCCTTCCCTCCCTTCTCCCTTTTTTCCTTCTTCCTCTCCTTTTGTTCCTTCTTTCCCTCCTTCCCGCCCTCCTTTCTTCCCTCCCTCCCTCCCTCTCTTCCTTCCTCATCTCCTTTTGTTCCTTCTTTCCCTCCTTCCCTCCTTCTCTCTCTCCCTCCCTCCCTCCCTTCCCCCCTCCCTTCCCCCTCCCTTGCCCAGATATTTCTGTTAAACATTCAAAAGAGCTTGGGTGCAACTGCAATCAGGGACACAGAGAGAAAGAAACCTATATTTTGTTCCTATTCTGAAACTAAACTTACCATAGATTTTATGGACTGTGACCAAATGACTTGTATTTTAAATCCAATTTCCCATTCCATGCCTGCAATCTGGAGAACAAACGCAGTCTCTCTCACACACACACATACAGACATCAGCTCTTGACCTTATTCCATGTGACACCCCATCAGGCATTTGAAGAATGCTATCATATGCCCCCTTAGTCATCTTTCCTGAAGGCTAAACAGACTCATGCCCTTCCATGTCTCTTCATAAGAACTTCCTAGTGCCCTGATCATCCTGCTTGCCAGTCTCTGAATCTATTCCAGATTCTCTGCAGTGGCTTTGTTTGCAGCTATCGCACACTGCTGATTCATGGGCAAATTGCAATTAATTACAATTTCAATTCCCCCCCCCCTCCAAGGAATACTCTTTTTTGTAAGTGAAAAACTTTACATTTGCCTCTAACTTTCATTCTGTTATTTATACTCTTTTTTTCAGTCCTATCGAGATTTTTTTCATCTCCCCTCCCCTCCTATCCCCTCTCCCCTCTCTCCTTTCCTCTCTCCTCCCCTCCCCTCTCCTCCCTTGCTCTCCCCTCCCCTGTTCTGTCTTCCCCTGCCCTGCCCTCCCCTCCATTTTTCTTCCCTTTCCTTGTGTCTGTGTCGAAATGTTATGTCCACTGAAAAATTACTTAACATCCCAGAGAAATTCAAGGCAAACCCTCTTTTCTGAAAGCAATTATGTAACATGGCATTTCTGCCTCTGAGCCAGGGCTACCCAGATTCCCCTCTGGCTGAGAAGAAAGTATAAATGTGATTTATCTAAAACCATCTTGAAAAATCATTGATTGCTGTTGAGGAGCCTCCTATTCTTAAATGCCAGACTTAAGGCATGAAAATTGCACACCTGTGTCTTTCGAAAGAGAACACGGAGTCACTTGGCATTTTTCTGCAGGTCCTGCTTCAAGACTCAAATCTCTCCCAATAGTCCAGCCGCGCTTTTAAAATTAGAAAGTAACCTATCAAAACTGAATGACTGAAAGAGTAGAATATAGAGCAGAGCAGAGCAGAGCAGAGCACAATAGAATAGAATAGAATAGAATAGAATAGAATAGAATAGAATAGAATAGAATAGAATTGTAGAATAGGAATAGAATAGAATAGAATAGAATAGAATAAATAGAATAGAATAGAATAGAATAGAATAGAATAGAATAGAATAGAATAGGATTGTAGAATAGAATAGAATAGAATAGAATAGAATAGAATAGAATAGAATAGAATAGAATAGAATAGAATAGAATAGGATTGTAGAATAGAATAGAATAGAATAGAATTGTAGAATAGGATTGTAGAATAGAATAGAATAGGATTGTAGAATAGAATAGAATAGAATAGAAAGGAATAGGATTGTAGAATAGAATAGAATAGAATAGAATAGAATAGAATAGAATAGAATAGAATTGTAGAATAGGATTGTAGAACAGAATAGAATAGAATAGGATTGTAGAATAGAATAGAATAGGAATAGAATAGAATAGAATAGCTTTATTTGGCCAAGTGTGATTAGATGAACAAGGAATTTGTCTCTGGTGGAGAAGTTCTCAGTGTACATTCAAAGCAACATAATAATAATAATAATAATAATAATAATAATAATAATAATAAAGTTGGAAGGGGCCTTGGAGGTCATCCAGTCCAACCTCCTGTTCAGGCAGGAAACCCCATAGCATTTTGGACAAATGGCTGTCCAGTCTCTTAAAAACTTCCAGTGCTGGAGCATTCACCGCTTCTGGAGGCAGGTTGTTCCACTGGTTAATTGTTCTAACTCTCAGGAAGTTTCTCCTTAGTTCTAGGTTGCTTCTCTCCTTGGTTAGTTTCCATCCATAATAATGATATCAATTAGAGGGGGTAGCAGGGAAGATGACAAGGATAATAGTAATACTACAGCCATACCATGCTTAGACATAAAACAGTACTGTGGGAAATAGGTGTTCAGTAGAGTGATGGCACAAGGGAAAAAAAACTGTCTCTGTATAAGGAAATAAGGAACATTGTTTAATTGGACAGAACTGCAAAGGATCGCCATGAAAGCCTAATGTATTTATTATTCTTCAAATATATTGTGGATGCACAATTGTGCTCAGTTTTTTTTTCTTTTGTAGACCACTGTGCTATAGTGATCAGAAAATTCAACTTTGAGGAGAGAAAGATGGGTTCATACTGGTTCTTGATTATACGTTCCCCTTGCTTTTCTGTTCTATCACCGAATAGTCGAATTTGTCAGCTAATTGTCCTGATTTTTATGCCCTGCTATCTGGAAGAGTCTCCCATTTAGTTAAGTTTCCTATTTAGACTTATCTGAATGGGAGAGCAGGAACACAGGGAATGTAAACAAGCATTCATCCTCAAAGGACAGCGTGAGGGCTGGAGATATGAAGAAATCCATGTCTCTTCTTGTGAGGCTGGGTACTGTAAGGGAGCATGAATGGTTTGAGAAGATCAAGTATAAATTCCAAACCATCATTCCCTCTTCACCCAGTGAAGAGGGCAGAGAGAAAGGCCTAAAAGGGCAGGAGGAAGAATTGCTAACAGTAAGATAAGCTACGGCTGAGCAAGAATGAAGAAATGGATTTGGGAAAAGCACCTCAGACAAATCCCTTCCTAATTCATACAAAGAAAAAGGAAGGGGAAGCATATTCATAAAACATAGAATAGAGTTGGAAGGGCCCTTAGAGGTCATCTAGTCCAGGGCTTTTCAACCTTTTCACCCATTGTACCACTTTTAGGATATGGCAACATCCGAGTACCACCAGTCGCCTAGCAAGGTGTCAAAAACTTGATGACAAAAAAAAGGAAAAAAGTGACAAAGTACAGGTAGTCCTCAACTTACAACAGTTCGCTTAGTGACTGTTTGAAGTTACAATGGCACTGAAAAAAAAGTGCCCCCCCAAGGCACAGCTGAGCAAGACAGTGCCGATGGCACTCTTCCTCTTGTCCGAGGTTTTCATTGTTCTGAGCATTTCTGTTGAGGATTGGCAGCGGGGATGGGGTGGGGGTGGGGGTTTGGTTTTTATTCCCCCCGTCTGCTGGGTGGTTGCAGCAGGTTTTGGTCACTTCACATGACCCTGGGACACTGTGACTGTCATAAATATGAATCAGTTGCTAAGCATCTGAATGTAAATCACAAGACCCTGGAGAGGCTACAACATTCCAGCTGATCGGCGCTTCTTCTGGGCTCAGCAGAAGCGCCAGGATCAGTGCTGCTTTCCAGCTGGATCCTGGTGCTGATCCTGGTTCTTCCACTGAGCCCTGACAGCCCCGAAGCGCTGATCAGCTGGAAAGTGGCGCTGATCCTGGGGCTTCCGCTGAACCCTGACAGCCCTGCAGCTCCAGCCATCTCTTGCTCAGGCTTGTGCGGTGCTGCCACCGGTTCAGCTCATTCCCCTCCCCTGCTACCACTTTTCTAGGATGGTCGCGTACCACCTGCCAGGTGCCAATGTACCACAGGTGGTACCTGTACCACTGGTTGAAAAGCCCTGTTCTAGTCCGACCCTTTGCTCAGGCAGGAGACCCTTCTACCAAATCAGACAAATGGTTTGCCCAGTCTCTTTTCGAAAGTCTCTAGTGATGGAGTACCTACAACTCCTGAAGGCAAGCCGTTCCACTGGTTATTAATAACAATACAGGCAGTCCTCGACTTACAACTGTTCATTTAGTGACCGTCCAATGAAAATGATGAAAATTCAGATGTTTGGGCAATTGACTCCTATTTATGATGGTTGCGGCATCCTGGGGTCATGTGATCACCTTTTGCCAACTTCCGACAAGCAAAGTCATTCGGGAAGCCAGCTTTACTTAACAACTTCATTACTAATTTAATAACCGTGGTGATTCACTTAACAACCGTGGCAGGAAGGGTTGTAAAACTCACTTAACAAATGTCTCGCTTAACAACAGAAATTTTGTGCTCACTTGTGGTCGTCAACTGAGGACCACTTGTAATCATAAGCTATTCAGGTTTATAATTCTGATACTATAGCCTCCTAAATTCAATAGATTTCTTATAGGCTTCTACAGTTATAAGCCACTCTAAAATTTTTCATTCTTGTTTAGTGCCATGATTTCTCTGGCTGCCGCCAATAGCCAAGAATATTTCAGTTAGAAGAGCACAGCGAATCAGTGGGCATATCTATATTCAGTTTGGACATTGATTACCCATTGATTGATATCAAGTGGACTAGATATATATTTTTAAACACTTTCAAAATTATTGGCTTGGGTGATCAATGACTAGCACTTATGATTTGTTATGGCACAACCAGAGATTCCTACTGTCTATAATAGAGTAGAGTAGAGTAGAGTAGAGTAGAACAGAGTAGAACAGAACAGAATAGAGTAGAGTAGAGTAGAGTAGAACAGAACAGAACAGAGTAGAACAGAACAGAGTAGAGTAGAACAGAACAGAACAGAGTAGAATAGAACAGAACAGAACAGAGTAGAACAGAACAGAAAAGAGTAGAGTAGAACAGAACATACAGTAGAGTAGAACAGAACAGAACAGAGTAGAGGAGAGTAGAGTAGAGTAGAACAGAACAGAACAGAACAGAACAGAATAGAATAGACTAGAACAGAACAGAATAGAATAGAAGCGGGAAGGGACCTTGGAGGTCTTCTAGTCCAGTCCTCTGCTATATAAGTAGTCCTCAACTTATAAACATCTGTTTAGCGACCATTCAAAATAGAACTGAAAAAGAATGACACACAACTGGTCCTCGTACTTACAACTATCGCAGCATCTCCATGGTTACAAGACCAAAATTTGGGACCTTAGCAACCAGAATGTATTTACCATGGTTGCTGTGTCACAGGATCAGCATTTGCAAACTTCACAGCCAACTTTCAAAAAACAAAGTCAATGGGGGAAGCCAGACTCACTTAACAACTGTATGACTCATTTAACAACTGCAGTGATTTGCTTAATAATCATAGGAAAAAAATTGGGCATGACTTTCTTAACAAATGTCACGTTTAGCAGCAGAAACCTTGGTCCCAATTGTATTCATAATTCGAAGACAATCTGCACATAACTGATAGGCGATTTGAATGTATACATTAGAAATATGGAAAAAACTGGAATTACAAGAAAGTTTGGAAGGATTCAGAAATGCAGGAGATAGTTTAACAGATGTTTGCAAAGAGAAACTGCTGTTTTTGCCAGCACCTGTCTCAAGCAACACAAACAGATTCTACACATGGTGATCACCAGATGTACAATATTAGAATCAAGTCAACTGCATAATAGGAAGCAGTAGATAGAGAAATGCAGTCTAATCCCTTGGAGCACTTCCAGGTGCTGATGGTGGAAGAGATCCTGATTTATAGATGTCAAACATA